AAAGTAACTGTATTCTGAATACCACCTTTTTAAACGGTAACTGTAACGGAATACAGTTACTCATATTTTGTATTTTAAATACGTAACGGCGGTACATGTATTCCGTTACTCCCCAACACTGTGCACCAGCATGCATCTGCTCTCATATAACTATCATTAGCTTACAGCTTATAGTGTTTAAGGTCTGTGCTAACCAAAAATAAAGACAAGATGATAGTTTATTAAACTTTTAATGAAATTTTCAGAATGTCTCAGTGGACTTTAATAAACTTAGCCATCTGCTCCTTGCTATCTAAAATATAACAGGACACTGGAGTAAATTTGTCCATCTCACACTTCTGCTTAATCAGTTTCCTGTTTGACGTTTATTCAGCTGTGTGAAAACTATAACTTTAATCTCAGCCAAATCGATTTACTCAGGAACAAATAAAATACTAAAAAAGCCAAAGAGTAACATTTTAAGTTACCTAAGTGACTTATATATCATGTTTAACCTGAGTAGCCAAAGACGTGTCGGCAGTAGTTCACTGTTCTCGCCGGCTCTAATGAGCCGGCTATCAAACAATGCGTCGACTATTAAATAAGTCGTCGACAATTTTAATAGTTGACGTAATTGTGACTAGTCGGCGAATCGTAGCAGCCCTAGTGTGCGAACATTTTTCTTGTAAAACAAAGGGGGGTCTAGCAAAAAAAGTTTGGGAACCAAACCTTATCTGTTGCTTAGTTTTCGGTATTTGCATATATGCTAGCTCGCTCCAGTCCCTAACTTGGCAGTACATGTTAGCTCTGTTATGGGCTCCCACAGCCCATAACTGATTAAGCAGATGGATGAATGGTCTGAGCCAATCACCAAGGAGCTGAAATGATGCATTTCATAAGTCTGGATGTGGCATCTATGTAACAGGGGAGTTGTTTCTGAGGTTCTCATACCACCATAGAAAAAAACCAATAACCTCCAGCTCATTTAGTATTCCAGTAAAAATTACTGCCTGCGTTTAAGGGATGGGATCTCATTTGTTTTCCCTTTAAGCACTTGTGATTTTTCTCCTGTATTAAGATTGATTTCTGCCTTGAACCCTCACTCGAGTTACACACTTCAGGAACTACAACTTGCTGCAACATGCAAGCAAACTGCTAACAGAATCCACCAGAAATAACCAAACAGCATCCTAGTATTCACAACAAATATTGACCCTGTAAAAGGGAATAAAACTTCTATTCAGGTTTTTCTTCTTTACTCTGAACACCTTGTAGACTGTTTTTGAAGTTCTAAACCATGATGGAGACAAAAAAGAGCAGCTGTACCTTTTCTTTTTGATTTTTTCCTCTTGTCTCTGATGATAATTTGACCATAACTGATGTCTTCTCTTTGCACTGCTGAATAGACTGCAGCTGGATCACTCTCTGTACAATAAAAACATAGCAGACATTACTTCAGTGGTGCAGTCATATATGTACTTACTATTTCATTAATAATCACACAAAAACTTTTATTTATTTTTTTAATCGCACTAATGTGAAAGTATTAAATAGAACTGATATCGAAGGCTATACAGTATTTAAGCTAACGGACCACAGTGCTGTTTTCATGAAAACATGCTGAAACCACAGGATTTATATGTGTTGTGCAATCTACAACATTACCTACAACGACCCACAACATTACCTATTACCATTATATTCTGTGCTTTCTCTTTGTTGTTTGTTTTATATCCTTGTCTCAGAATTTGTAGTGCAAAAAGACATTTTAAATAAAATAATGACCGAAGCAATTCTCTAGAGGCAATCATGGCTATAGGTGGGTTGGAAATGCAGCAGAGGTTTCTGGCACAACGTCACGTTCCAAGTTGCACAATGTGTAATGTGTATGTGTTAGTCCCCATAGGGAAATAGTTCCTCTGCATTTAACCCATTCACCCAGTGAAGCAGTGGGCAGCCACCAATGCAGCGTACCTGTAGGTATATTTGGTCTGCAATTGTGAGTCATCCATCATAACATGCACACTCTTAATACAGCCATAACAGACAACAATTGCACATGGTACACCAAAAATAAATAAATAAATTAAAATAACATCTATAATTTGTTCATTAACGGCTGCTACAACAAAGCAATTTTTAAACCTTCTAGTTTTACACTTTGGGAACAAAACCCTTTACCCAGAAGGGGAAAAAAAAGTGAAACTCACTATGAAACAGGTGTGAGTCAACAAAAATTGAGCTAGTCAACTGCTGTAACTGGTGTACAGGGATACTAGGTTCAGCTGTGGTTCACCAATCAGCCTATTAAACCACTTAACAATTTGATTGAGTGAGTTTCTGTTCTTTATAGATAAATATGCGAACCATGAAACCAAAGAAAAAGACGAAACTAATTCAATCAAAGAATGACAAAAAAAATCATCATGGTTTTGTTAATGTGGAAATGAGAAAGCTTTCTCACACGTGAGTCACTGGTGACCTTTCTGCACACAGTGTCACAGTACAATTAAGCTTTGAATCATTAACTGTTCCAAGATATTTATAACATTGAAAACATTCCACAGTATGACCCTTAATAAAATCAACTTTGTGTGTATGTGTGCTTTTGCTAAAATAAATGATATGTTCTTCAGTATCATCAGCTGAAGGCAGGACTCATCACATCATTTGACAAAATCAGCACAAACTGAGCCACAGATGGATTCATTTTCCCGGAGCAGACAGAGAATAACAGAATCATCTGCTTATTTTCAAATGGTCCTATTTTCAAAATTACTCTAACAAATATTTGTGTACAGGATAAATAGTAAGAACAAGAGCTGGCATTCCTGTGGGGAGCCAGTCGAGGAGCAGACCTGGTTGGACAGGACCGCACTTACATTCAATCAAGTTTTTGGGTCCTGTTAGTTAAAAAGTCAAGAATTGAATCGATAAGATTTTTATTCATGTTGAACTGTTCTAAAAGCCTTCAGATTAAAATAGCAGGCTAAATTATGTTGAAGCCTGAAGAAAAATCAACAAACACTAATCAAGCATGAGAGGTTTTTCCCTCCAGGTGTTAAATAACCAGGTTCAGCAAGATTGCAGCTGCATCTTCCATTCCTCTATAGAGGAGGTCAAGCACATGTTCAGTTTGCTTTAAAATCTCTGACTTCACAAGTTTCTGAACTTTCATCACAACCAATGTGAGAGCAACTAAACTTGTTTTTTTTTTTTTAAATTTTGGGATGACAAGTCTTAGGAACAGGCAATAAAACAACATCCTTCAAAACAATAGGTGTGTGGTGTGCCTGTAAAGACTTTTTAAAAATATAATGGATTGTTGAGCAAATGACAACAACTATTAGCAGGTCCATGAAACTTATTCACTTTCACAAAGTGGAAGGCCTTTTTGACATCTCCCTGCTTGATGTTAAAGTGCTCAGTATGTTTAAGATTACACTGCAGCTGCTGGGTCTCATTATTAAAGTCAAAAATGTTCAAACTAAAAAGAAAAAGGGGGAAGTATGATGATGATGATGACCCAAATCCTGTTGCTAGAACTTTAACTTGCATAGATTAGAGTGGAGATCAGACTTGTGCATGTGTATACAATTTTTACAAGTTATAAAAAATAATGAGCACTCCTACCTCTTATATTAGATTTATTTTTCTTATCTTTGATGATAATTTGTCCATAACTGACGTCTTCTGTTCTCACTGCTGAGTAGACTGCAGCTGGATCACAGTCTGCACAATAAAATACAGACAGAGGACACGATTGCAGAGACACAGCTATACAGAACGTTCTGTTGTTATATTAATGTCCACATATTTTTTCTACTCCTTTATTGTTGAGTAGTCAAATTGGAGAGACTAAGAAAACTAATGAACTACATCACCAAATGCCACTGAACCACATGAACAAAAGCACTGGGTCACATACACATCATACTAGGAAGAGCAGAACCCATCCCGTAAAACTTTCAATGGACAGTTTTTTGTGTTGATACCATTACCAAAAGAAGGTTTGGAACTCTTGTTATTGAGTCAGCACTTTGTAACTTCATGTGGTCTACCACTTCATGGGTGAGTTGCTATGGCAAATCTATCTAACTGCACTAATAACAGCTGATCACAGAATATCTAAGAGAAAAGAAATTTCACAAACTGACTTGTTGCAATGGTGACATCATATTTCAGTACTACATTCACTTTGATTTTATACACCTGTGATTGAAAAAACTTATATCAAAGATTAAGAGATATGACCCCACACTTCGCCCATTAATATGGCTGACTCAGACTGAATACTAAACACATGTGGACAGTCTGGATAAAGTTATTGTGTACTATGGTCAGATTTCTCGACTTTGGTCTCTTCTATCCAACATTGCTCCAGAAGGAACAATGTTGTTTATGTTTTATAAGTCTTGTGTTTTGTTTAAACAAACCACTTCATCCTTGCAAACCTTTTCTATAAAGCTGTTTCCTTGGCAAACACAGGTGGACATATCTATATCATATAGCACTGCATCAAAACACACCTGAATGCTTTAGACCAGCACACTCCTTAAACATCTGTTTGAAGAGATTCTGACACAGCTTAATTAATTAAATATAATTATCAGAAACCAGCGGTTACATGTCATCTTAATTCCCGTGAATGCACTAAGAATGTACCTAATTTTTCCAACACTAAATAAGATGATTTTTTTTTCACAGGACTGTACATGACACTTCCTATAATCCGGCACTATACAGTTTTATTTCTTCTAACAATAGTGGTGTAAAAACAAACAAAAAGACGCACCAGCTTTAAACTACCTGTCAATACCTGTCAATATGTCACACAAACTATTAAATTTTTAACTCCGTAAAACAAAAATAAAAATTGGCATATTGGCAGGTGAACAGCATTGCAATGAGTTTACTAAGGTTGAGAGTTGGTGTTTGTGCACACACTTTACTTCTCTTAAAAGCCCTCTAGCAAAACCTGAGCAGCTGAAGCGCTCTCATTAGAAACAGGAAACAGAGCAACCACAGAGCTGTTAGCTCATGTAAACGGACTAACCACAGCATCAAAAAACAAACAGTCCAACAAGCAAAGGAAAAAAAGCCTTCACGGTTAACTGTCTAAAGACACAGAAGAACAAAGGGATTATTTTTAGGCTTTCACACAAGTTTTGGATAAAATTTATCTGTGAAACAATTTTAATTTAATATTAATACAGTGAATTGTTTAGGAAACATGAGCTAACATAAACACGAAACTAGGCCATCTGTGTGATAGAAAATTAGAAAATAGTAGCTGAGAATTAAACTGTCACCAATGTACAGAGTACTGTCTTTAGCTCTGTAAATGTTGGTGTGGAACTGAAGAACACTTTTGTTAAGAAACACTAAATGTTTTGAAAAACATTAAAAACTCAGCTGTAAATATATACATTATATATACACACTGCACATAAAGCATTACCTCTGCTCCATCTGATTGGCTTTTGTTGGTGATGTAATATTCTGAGGTCAGTGTAAGCGATGTCATCTTCACTAGCATTTCCAGTATCATCTAAAATGAACCAAAATAAATATCAATAAAGTTATTCTATAGCAGGCTTAATGAACACTTTTCTTTTATTTTTTTTAAATGTTCAACATGTTTGTAAATTACATGTTAAAATAATTTACATAACTTTTTAAAGGAATAATTCTTAGTCTCACCTTTCGGCTTCCTGTGAACACATCGTCTCACCAATAGAATCACTAACACCAGTAGAATCACAACACAGACTGATCCAACAGTCAGCAGCACATGGAGATAAGGAGGAGAGGAACCAGCAGAAGTGGTTGTATTAATGGAGGCTGATGTAGGTGGAGGTGTGGTGGTGTATCTCTCTAAAATAAAGCAAACACAGTCATTAAGTTGTCGTCACATTGTGAATGTTGAAAGCTGCAGAAACACAGACAGGTGAGTGTGTCACCTGTGACAGTGATCCAGCTGGATGGAGACTCTCCATGACCGCTGATGTCACACTTGTAGAGGCCTTCATCAGAC